AGAGGAGGCGTTCAGCTTCCTCATAGTTTCACACCTGCATGAAGCAGCCTCACCCTGACAGCTTCAAATCACTGTGTCAGCTGATCACTTCCTGTCCTGTGATTGGCTGAGCTTCAGGCCTTCTCTCAGTCAAACTGGAAACAGGGATTGAGACAGTGTGAGGGTTTGTGGAGTGCCACAGTGCTGTAATGAATACTGTAGTGGAAGAAGTTCTTTCACACTCTTCATCCTGGAGCTGCTTTATGTCCATGATCTGCATGGAAACACATCTATGGAGAGGAAATCCAGCTGCTGAGGGTCACATCTGCATCATTGTAGCTACAGTGGATGTTTCAGCGTCAGGACTGAAGGCGGAGCTTTGTGCGTGTCAGGGTGAGGCCGCAGCAGCCGCCTCCAACCGGAGCGCTCGGGCGTGAAACTAGGAGGAAAGCCGACGTCCTCCTCTTTCCTCAGAAGTGATCTGTGGCCGGCCGGACTTCATTCCACAGATGTGCTTTAACAAAGTGTGAAGCTGAACTCTGAGCTGTGACAGTGAAGCAGTGTGAGAGTGTCAGTAGATGATCAGCAGAGGAAAGTGAAGCTGCTGTGAGCTGATGTCCTGAAGGGCTTTTAAAGAGTCTCTGAGTTTGACAGGAACATGAAGATGTTTGTGGTGTTTGTGATCCTCCTGCACGGTAAGTACACCTTCCTCTCTCTGCTCTCATCATCAGCTTTTCTTTCATCTCTCTCTCTTTAATGTGTTGAAGTGCAGCAGGAGGAGATTTCCATCAAACACTGGATTCTGATTCAGATCAAACTAACAATCCAAAGCAGCAACTTTCAAATCTCTGGATTCTTCTTGGTGCCTTTCAGATGAGCTCATGTTACAATCAGCTGCTGTGTGTGTTGTTGTGTAGCTGAAGCTCTGACTCACATTTCATATGTGACCAAAGGAAACTTGGTGCTGTGTGACACACTTTAGATTCTCTGCTGCTGCTTTGAACTCTTCAAACTAAAGAGCCAAACTGATGATTGACTGTGCAGCTCTGACATGGCACCAAATGTCCCTGTTATCAGCTGCTGGATGGACGTTATCAGAGCTTTTTAGTGCCACACGGATCACCAGGAGCTCCTCCTCTGTCTGCAAACAGGCTCAGCAGCTCTGATCATTGGAGTCAGCACAGAGTGTGGAGACATCTAGTGGTCGTGGAGAGAAGTGCATGTAACGTGTGTGTGTTGTGTTAATCAGCATGAGTAGTTAGGGGGACGTGCCTCCCTGTGCCTGATGGGAGTCCTTGTAATTACCCAGCATGCTGTGCTGTGTGTTTCATTTCTAACACTGGTTTCACTGAAGAGCTTTCTGAGCTTCTTTCATTGATTGTGACCAACATACATGTTTGCTGTGGATCCACATCTGCTCTTCCTGCTGATGTCATGAAGCTGTTTGAGTGGTGAGCAGTCAAAGCAGCAGGTCCTAACAGGGACATAGCAGGATATTCCTGCCTGTAAATGAGCTGTAACTGCACATATGAGCACAGCTGGTCTGCATGTAGTGAACACAAATGCTGTGTCCAAATTTCGAGGCTGCATTTGTGGGCCGATTACATCACAGCGACGCGACGAAAGCTGTCCAAATTCGGTGTCCTTTTTTCAGTGTTCTATTTGTTCCTGAATAAATCGGTTTGAATGAGATTAAAATTATAGTTTTCACACGGCTGAATAAACGTCAAACAGAAAACTGATTAAACAAAAGTGTGAGATGGTAGAGAGTTTACGCCAGTGTCCTGTTATATTTTAGATAGCAAGGAGCAGACGGCTGAGTTTATTAAACTCGTATATCTATCTATCTATCTCAGATGCAGAGCCTTCAGTTTTCAGGCCCCTCAACTATGGAACCAGCTTCCAGGAGACACACTATCTCTACTTTTAAGATTAGGCTTCAAACTTTCCATAACAGCAGAGTGCAAGATGTAAGCAAGGCCATTGATAGAACACCATACCCAAGTGGCCAGCATATATAGCATACAGCAGTCCTTCCCAAATAGTGGGGCGCACCGAGGGGAACTTGCTTTTTTAGCCGTGCTAGAAAGTGTAATTGCACATTCACTGCAGTGAGTGCAGAGTTTTTTGCATGTGTGCAGACACAGTACAGAGCAGGAGATATGAAGTGCAGTAAACAAGCCCTCAAGAAAAATGAAAAAATGAAAAGAGAGGCAGAAATAATTAGACAAAAGTCTCCCAAAAACTAAGACAAGGAAATATGACCAAGCGTATGCAGCACTTGGCTTCACAGTAACAGAAAATAATTGAGACGCACTGACATACAATAACGCCTGTGCTGAGTATGGCCTGGAAGTCAAAATGGGAGACGCTCTCTAGGGTGGTAGAGAATGACCGAGCTAAGATCCTGTGGGACAGATGGACAAACTAGTGGTGGCTAACCAGCCGGACATAGTGGTGTTGGACAAGCAGAGGAAGACGGCTGTAGTGATCGATGTTGCAATACTGAATGACAGCAATATCAGGAAGAAGCAACACGAGAAGCTGGAGAAATACCAAGGGCTCAGAGAAGAGCTCGAGAGGATGTGGAGGGTGAAGGTAACGGTGGTCCCCGTGGTAATCGGAGCACTAGGTGCGGTGACTCCCAAGCTAGGCGAGTGGCTCCAGCAGATCCCGGGAATAACATCGGAGATCTCTGTCCAGAAGAGCGCAGTCCTGGGAACAGCTAAGATACTGCGCAGGACCCTCAAGCTCCCAGGCCTCTGGTAGAGGACCCGAGCTTGAAGGATAAAGAGACTTTTTGTAGGAAGAATGCAAAAATGCCAGGGCTCATTTTCCACCCCAGTCCAGCCCCGTTTTTATCTGACACATTTGAAGAAGTCCTCCAGTCCTCCCCCATCTCATGTGTGGACATGACTGGACTCTTTGATGATGTTTTTATTTTTTATTGTTTTTATTTGTCTGTCATACTATTCACTTTATTTGTTCAGGTTTTTAACTGTGTTTGTTAAAATGTTGAATGTTTCTGTCGTTCTGTCTCCTGGTTTCTGTAAATGTGTCTAAACTTGATCTTTACCTCAAAGTGACTCATGGAGTCTCTGTCTGTGTGTCCTCAGTTTCCCAGCATGCCTCAGCTGTGGAGTCATATGAGGGGGACTCGTTCATCCTGCTGTACTGTCAGTTTAACACTTTTCTACTAGACAACCCCACAGTGGTGTGGAGTCGCTCCGACCTCAGTCCTCCAACCGTCCACCAGCGTCAGCCTCAAGGAGACGAACTGAAAGATCAAAACCAGCGTTACAGCGGCCGAACATCCATGAAGACTGACGCTCTGGAAACTGGAGACCTCAGCCTGAACCTGACCAACCTCCAACTGTCTGACAGCGCCACCTACACCTGCTCCGTCAGAGACTTTGTAGGTGAACTGAGTCGGAGTGATGTACAGCTGCAGGTCAAAGGTCAGCAACAAACACCTGCTGTAGACACATCTGACATCACTCATATAAAACTTTATTATTTTAACACAGTCAGAATACATGTATTAGCTTTATGATTAAAGTATAGGCGTATTCATTATTAAATTCAGAGGTCAAAGGTCATGTTGTTCTTTGTGTTCCTCCACAGAACGGTTTCCATCCTGGGCCAAAGCTCTCCTGGTTCTCCTGGTTCTTCTTGTGGTTTCTGGAGGTCTTTTATTTCATTTCCGGCACTATTTCATGTCAGGTGAGTGTCTCCTACTACACTACCCATAATGCCGATGGTCAGCAGAAGTTCTGTGTTTCCAGCACTGTAAAAGACCCTCAGGGTGGCTGTAGCTCAGGAGGTCATCTGCTAATTGGAAGGTTGGTAGTTTGATCTCTGGCTGCTCCAGTCTGCATGTCAAATATCTTTGGGCAACATGCTAACCTCTGGTGCATCCATCAGAGTATGACTGTGTGTGAATGTTAGATAAAAAGCACGTCGCAACACATAGAAAAAGAATGTTTGTGTGAATGAGGCAAGTTGTACTAAGTGTTTGAGTGCTGAGAGTAGAAAAGTGCTCAATAAGAAGCAGCCCATTTACCAGCAGCAGTTTAAAATCAAGCACAACAACATTTTTACATTGTCGTCACTAAATTAATACACAGGTGTTCCTGTGACAGTGTTTGTCCTTCTTTGGGTTTTTAGTATTGTGCTGCACATGTAAAACAGATTCCCACACCAGAAAATTCACACTCAAAACATGCTGTGAATAAAAATGTGAGTGAAAGCTGCTGATTTGAATCTGAACCCTGAACATCAGCTGCTCCTTACAGCTGCAGACTCACTGGTGTTTAAGGTTTCAGAGTAAACATTAAATATAAGAACTGAATTCAAACATAGTCTACATACAAAGTTTACATGATATGAAGTACAGTGCACTTGTCCTGTTGTAGGATCATATATATAATATACATACACACATTAGATTATAGGACAACAAAACTGTAGTAAAATCTTTTGCTGCCAACAGAGGAAAAGATCAAGTAATGACGTTCCTTCTGACAATATGTTTTACTGATGTTCATCACAGAAACGCAAAGACGTTAGATGCTATTAAAAAACTTCCAGAGATTTGTTAAGTCAGTTAGAGGTGATTTTATGAATGCTGATCTCTGAATCTTAAAATGATCTGAAGTAGGCAAAGTTCACAGCACAAGTTACCATGGCGATGTACTGCGCTAAGAAATGAACAACCTTCATAGTGCAGAAAACTCAGGGTTTACCCTCAAATTACCTGGATAAGCCAGAATCCTGCTTTTTGTTGTACAGGCTTCAGATGTTGTTACTACAGCTCATGTTGTGCTTTGTTGTCCTCTCAGTCCCCTGGGTGGGGGTGGATTCAGGGGTGGAGTCTGTCCAGCTGATCTGCAAAACCACAGTTTGTCTGCCTAAAGATGCTAAAGTGGAGTGGAAGGATGCAAACAACAGGAAGGTCCACGTGTATGAGAACGGCTCTGACCAGCCTGAAGAACAGGACGATAAATACAAGAACCGAACAAAGATGAAGAGAAACTTACTGGAACCTGGAGACCTCAGTCTGACCCTGAAACACCCCACAGATGGAGACAACTCCACCTACACCTGCACCGTCTACAGCAGGGAGGGAAACATGCTGATGGAGAAACAAGTGGAGCTGAAAGTCAGAGGTCAGTGCTGTAGATACAGGTCAAAGGTCAGAGGTCAGACTCATGATGGTGGTTCAGTCTCAGTGGCTCCATCCAATAATGTTACAGTGTTAGCATGTCTGATGTTTGTGGCTGTTTTGGTTTTTATTTGATTTCCAGCCAAATGTAAAAGCTTCAGCAGATGAACTGTAGGAGCAAAGTTCATGTGTGAGACTTCATCTGAAAGGTAACATCTTCTAGTTTCTGAACATGTGTTTGTTTAGCATGTGGCTGAAACACAGGCTAAGCTAAGTCAGCTCCAATCTCAGTAACAACCTTCTTTGGTCCTCATCTATAATCAGTCATATCTGAGTCACAATAACTAGAAGATGATTTCTAGCAGAAGTGTGAACATCTCCACATCCTTTCTCCATGTTATCATCCAAAGCTGTGTGAAGTTTCAGAGCTCTGCAGCTAACAGAGACTTTCAGTTTGCTGCTCTCTTCCTCTGACAGCTCCATTCTTAGGGAGCGTTAGTTCTCTGTTTCACTTTATTCCACTTATTGACTATGTGCACGTTAGCATATGCTACTTCCGGTGTGGAAACTCCTGTGGGGAGCTTTGTTTCCGGTGTCCTATTCGCGCCTGTTTACGGTCCAAAACAAGTTAAGCAAATGAATGAATCAAGCGGCGATTTACATTTCTATAGATGTCTTGGGCATTTACCCAATATATCTGTAAATGATGTTCATCGACTTGTCGATATTTTTCCCCCGCGCCTCAGAGCAAAAGAGAAAAGGGATTCAAATGTTATATTTCTCAGCTGTCCCTCGTTTATCGCGGGTGTTATGTTCTAAAAATAACCAGCGATAGGTGAAATCAAGTAGCCAATTTTATTTTTTGACGGTGCAAAACGTTTCGTGGACATCGTGGACATACAGTACTGCACTTCAGAGTCACACTGCTAGCGATCGATGCAGCGATTCTGTACTGTACAGGAGAGACGTCACGGAGGAGATCGTCTGCAGCGATCAGGACGCAGGACACAATGTGACGTAAAAAAAAAGCATGCAAACTTGCACTAAAAAATCCGTGAAACAGCGAGGTGAAAGGTGAACCGCGTTATAGCGAGGGACCGCTGTAATTTTGAAGGTAAGTCACAACATACCCTTCGTACATACTAATGTATAGAAACCGTTACCAGCAATCATTCATTTTTTGTGTGGCTTTTTTTCACGGTTTGTTAACATGCTGTGTAGGTGTGTACTTGACTAGCTGATATCGACATAACGGGAAACATCTGGTTTGACTATTCTTCACCTGTAGTTTGAATGCTGAACATTTGCCTGTTTAAATCATAAGACCAGTCACTATACAGAGATGTGCTTCTGAATGTGGACGATGTGTCTTCTGCTTGCAGTTCTGCTTGTGTTGAGTGATGTAAACAACTGATCGATCTAAACGCTTTAAACGTCAAAATTGATCATTAGATTTTTTATGACACAACAGCGGTGAGTGTTCCCACCTTCTGCTCTTTGTAACTTAACGCAATCTTTCCGTTTTCGAGTTTTGGACATGATTTTGGAGTATATCTTCGCAGTAGCGATTGACCGCAAAGTAAAGCTACCGGAAATGCACAACCCCACATCCGGTCTCAAACCAGGAAGTTAGCATTGTCTCGTGCACATAGTCAATTCAGTCTGATGTTCTCTGATCTGTTTCTCTTGTTTAGTGTCTTAAAGGCTGCCAGTGCCTCTCTTTGCTGTAACCAACCTTTCTCTTTATTTCTGAGCTTTTTAAGGACTTTAACTGATGCATCAACCTTTGAAAATGGAAAGAAATCAGTCAGATTCATGGCTGCATCACAGTGTCACATGTAGTTCTCCACATCAGCTGGATTATATCTATAGCAGCAAACAGCAGCTGATGCACAAATCTTTGTCTGTGTGAATAAAGTTGGATCAGTTCAAACAGTTTGTTGCTCTGCTTGAAAGCAGCAGTTTTTCTAATGCACCACCTTCATGTTTCCTTCATATTTGAATCCCCCTGTAGATGCTGACAGGTAACCATGTCACACAGAGCTCAAGCCTTTGAATCCAGCTGTGACTGTTGATTTTCTATTGAATGGACTTTTTCAAATCCAGCTGTAGGCCTGTGTTTGTGAGCTCATTAACAGCTGTTTGTTTAGAGAGACGTGGTCCTCACAGGACAGCCACTACAAACATATGATTTTATAGAATATGATGCATTACTGCAGATTCAACACAATAGAAAGGATTTGAAATGAGCTCAGCCTTAAACATGTGCAGCAGTAATATTGATCCACAGACACTGATGGGAACATTTTTCTGCACAATAAGTACTTTGACTTTTCATACTTTATGTACAATTTGCCAGTACTGCAGTTTAGTGTGTAGTGAGGTGTTTTCATGGTGTTTTCTTGGTGCTTTTACTAAAGGAAGCTTCTATCAAATTCTTCCACATGTTGTCAAACTGAGCTGTGTGATGAAGTGAGTGTGACAGAAACACTCAGACTGTGTTTCTCTGCTTCATCAAGTCAAATCTGGTCCTCAGAGACTGAATAAAGTCCTGTCCCACTAACAGCAGCTCCAACAGTCTGTTCACTGCTTTCTTCCTGTCAGTCTTCATCTTTCTGCTGCGTCTCCTCTTCACACTGACCACTTTCTATCTAACAGTGAGCTCCCAGTGAAGCAGCAGCATTCAGCCTGTTAGAGGCAACACAAATGTCTCCATCCAAGCTCATGTTGTGCTTTGTTGTCCTCTCAGTCCCCCAGGTGGAGGTGGATTCAGGGGTGGAGTCTGTCCAGCTGCCCTTCAACACCACACTTCACCTGCCTGAAGACGCTAAAGTGGAGTGGATGGACAAAATCAACAGGAAGGTCCACGTGTATGAGAACGGCTCTGACCAGCCTGAAGAACAGCACCAGGTTTACAGAGACCGAACGAAGATGAATGAAGACCTGCTGAAAACTGGAGACCTCAGTCTGACCCTGAAACACCCCACAGACTAGAGACCAGGACCTACACCTGCACCGTCTACAGCAGGGAGGGAAACATCCTGCTGAAGAGAAAGGTGGAGCTGAAAGTCAGAGGTCAGTGCTGTAGATACAGGTCAAAGGTCAGAGGTCATGCAGGAGTTTATTCTCTAAAAGCTTTTAGTTTGAATCTATTTTCAGTTCATTCAAATAAAATAAATTCTTTGATGTTTTGATCTAAAAGCCAAAAATGTCAGGCGGAGCAACTGTGTGTTTAAATGAACTAAGAAGACCATTAAAATGATCCTACCTTCAAAATAAAAGCCTCTGGCATGATGTGAGTTTGGATCAAATCAATAGTTTTGTTAGTTTAGTCCAAATCAATGTAAATGTATAAATATCAATAGTTTTAAAGCTGCTGAGATCATTCAAACACTTTGATCCAGTCATTTGGATGTTGTCACATGTCAGGGTGGAGCAGCCATAAATACGAGGCTTTTATTGTGAAAATGCTGAGTGTGATGATCCAGAGGAGCCCATGGGGTGTTTGTGGCTGGATGCAAAGGTTTGTAGCTCTCCTTGTAAAGAGAAACAGCTTGAAGCTACAGAGGAGCGTCTGCAGAAGAAGACAGGGGAAAGAGGAAGAAGCTGAGGCCGCTGGAGAAAAGACAGGAAAAGGAAATCAGCTTCATTTGTTGGAGGCCGTTTGTTCATCACACTGAAATATTCCCACTTTAGAGACAGGAAACAAAGTGAAGTGTGGATTGATGTTTGTCTCCATGATTTGGGCCCTGGAGTCATTTCTTCATCTCCCACTTTAAGACATATTAATGTCAGCCTCACACGTCCCACAGTGGACACATTTCTATTTCTAGATGATATTTGGAGGATGCTCATGTGTTTCTCTGCTGTCACAGCTCTTTGTGATATTTGAGCGCAGCTGTAATGTTTGTGTGGTTAAAGCCACCAGACTCCACTGACAAAAACTCTCATTTTAGCCGGAGAACACGGGGCTGCTGTGGGACTTTGTGTTTGCAAAGGTTTCTATTGGAGGCATGTTTGCCTTTATTATATAGGTGCAGAGAGTAGACAGGAAAGTGGGGAGAGAGTGAGGGACACACAGGCACCTGTAGTAAGCCCCGCCTTCAGCCCACCTGCTCAGCCAGGTGAGCTATAGCGCTGCTTTAACATGTTGGTGTGATTGAGAGTGAATGAAAGTGAGTGATGGAGGCAGCAGGAAACTAACAGGCTGTTTGTTCTGAGAGGTCACATGACTGTTGTTCTCAGCAGAGTCTGATGATTTGATGAGACCATGAGAGCGGCTTCAGTTCCTCATCAGAAAGAGTCTGACAGAAGCTCCTCCCTCTGTACCCCAGTAGACTTCTATTAGACTGCTCCAGATTCCTGAGAGTTCACACAGAAAACTTTACAAACAGCCAAAGAAAAACTATTGAAAAGCTTCAAGATCACAAAGAGCTCTTTCACAGCACATATGAGCCATTAAGAAGTGCACATTTGTGTTTCCCACAGTCCATCATCCAATAATATCAAAGGACAAACTGTGAGGTAAAAAGCCTTCAGCTCTTTTTGAAGGAAGCAAAAAGACTTTGGTCCTGAGAGATGGTTCAAAACACAACTCAGACCTACCAAAGTATTATTTGTGCCAAACACATGAAGCCTTCAACTTTGTATGTGTCCAGTCAGTGTGGCAATAGAAGTCACTGTGAGGATTTTCAATGTGCTGTCAAAGAGCATCCAAACAATCAGGTGAGGATGAAGAGAATTAGTGTGGATGGACAGAAAATCCATATCCAGTGTGATTTAGGAGCAGCTCATATATAATGAGTGAAATGAAAGAAGAGCACAGACAGGAAGAACATGAGTGAGCAGACATTTTGGAGCTGCTGATCCACACAGGGCTGGATGGAAGGAGTGGGAGTCCATGATGGCTCAAAGTCTCTGATCTAACTCTTCCTGAGCCTCTCCCCCTGCCTCCTCTTTGGATCTTCTCCTCCTCTTCTTCCTTATCTGCCTCCTCCACCACTGCTCTCTCCTCCCTCATCTCCTCCTCAGCTGAACTGAAGTCAGGGCTGTAACATGAGGAAACGTGCAGAAATGACTGAGTCAGCATGTTGTTGAAGTGAGTTGAGTGATGGTGAGCAGATTAGATGTGCGAGCCTCCCTGTAGAGAAAAGCAGATCTTCTCCAGAGTTTCCCACCTCATGTTTTCCTGTGTCACAGCTGATTGTCACATCCTGGCTGTCACTAAATGAGTGGTCCAAAGGTGGAAGGAGGAGCACAGTTAGATTGTTCACCTCCTAACCTGTGAAATCAACCAGCTGAATGAAAAACACTGTGATCCTATGAGCTGCTATCAGGGCTGCTCCATTCTCAGGATTCTCATCTGGATGATTGAAGCAGATTATTGATGAAGTCAGCAAACAGCTTTCAAAATGGCTCTTTTTCCAGGGGAACTCCCTGAAATGTAAATCTCATTGGAATGAAGAAGAAGTCCAAAGGCGTGGTTAGGCCCAGACTTGTGGCTGTTTTCAATGTAAAGCCCATGTTGCAGGCAGCTGCTGCTCCTTACTGGCCCACAGCCTCCACTGATGGATGTGTCAGCTCACTTGTACTGTAGCCACGGGGAGAGCGATGGTGAAGCTGACAACCAGAGGTGTAGTGCTATTTGTTGAAGTAGCCCAGCTGTGCCATGGAAGCACAAGTTTCCAGAGATGATTGGACTGTGAGCAGAAATGATCCATGTTGGACTGAATTGAAGAACAGATCATAAAGTCCTCTGTGTGCCCAGCCCGTCTGTCTGAGCATCTTCATCAGTGTGCAGCTGATCTACAGCTAATGTGCTGATTGATGAGCAGCCTGTTCATGGTGATGATGAGAAACAGATTGGATTCAAAGCACAAATGAGTGAAAAAGGAGCAGCAGCCATGATAGAGCGAGTCCTCTGCTGACAGAAATAGTGGAGTGAAGGATTTGTGCAGCGTTTCTCTGTGAAAACAGCTGATTCAGATCAATGAGAGGAGGATGAAGGAGAAGCAGCATGTTTCTGATAGAAGCATCACTGCTGTGCTACAAACTGCTGGGACTGTGTGTGAATGTGTGACGGCTCAGCTGGAGGCAGGATTGGTCCAGAGGAGAGCTGCTTTATTCCAGACTAACTCTTCTAGAAAGCTGACATCTGTGTGGAACAGCTGACCTGCACCATGTGGAAAAGAACAGCAACATGATTCAGCGTCAGATCCTGACACATCCACGGATTCATCCCGTTACAGGAACTGTGCCACACGTGGCCTCTGTTTGTTCTGCATTGATGCTGCAGGGATTTCTTCAAGTCACTATAATATAGTGTCAGATGGACACATGAAGCTAACACGGCACATCTTTGTGAGTCTGCAGCATGTTGACACACATGTCAGTGTTGTACAGATCTGAGAGCAGCACAAACAAACTCCATCAAAGTGATTTGTGCTGTTGCAGAGCTGTGTGACTGCATTTGTCTTCATTATGGACACATTTCTACAAATGGGACTAAACATGTGACCCTCTGCACATCCATGGCTCAACAGTGCACCCATTGGCTGGATGCAGCTTGTATTGTGGCTCCTCCCCCTTAGCTTCAGGTCAGTTTAGCTGTGTTTCCTCCAAATCCCAGAATTCCTGAGGAGCAGGAATATGTGGGGCTGGGCTCTAAACACTCAGGGTGAGGACTGAGTGAAGAGCTACAGGACAAAGTTTCAGCGCTGCGCTCACAGCTTTGAGACGTCCAATCAGCAACTGGTCCTGATAACATCTCCCCTCTCCTTCCACATACATGAAGACTGCTAGAAGCAGCTATCAGCCACATCAGGCTCACATCATGCTTGCTATTAAACATGCTGCAGTCTGCAGTAAACTCCCTGCCACAAAGCTTTGAGTCTCCTCCAAATGCACCTGTAACAAGGTGACCTGCAGAAATAACTGTGTCCACGGGCAGAGTCACCAACACTCTGCACCAGAGCTAAACCTGCTTTGGAGCTAAAAAGCTGCTGTCAGGGTTTCCTGCAGAGCTTCAAATGTGGAGACTGAAAGCTGTGGACAGTTTCTGTGGCTGGATTATTTCATATGTGTTTGTTTCACTTTCAAAGGAAAGTGTTGGAATAAATCAGGTGTGTGACGCACACTTTACTGCAGATTGTTCTCAATGTAACACAAACAGCAATCAGAATGTGATTGATCCTGATGTGCTTGTTGCTTCTAGCAGTGTTGATGTATTTGCACAGAGAGGGGGAGATGTTATCAGAGTGTGTAAGTGATCAGATCTGATGCTGAATCATGTTCATGTACAGTCAGCTGATCCTCACAGTTCAGTTTGTAATCATGCAGCTCTCCTCTGATAAATCCTGAGCTCCACCTGAGTCTCAGTCCTCAGGACCTCACACAGTCCCAGCAGCTTCTATCAGCAGAGTTCTCCCTGATATCACAAACATATTGATCCTCCTTCAGCCTCCTCTCATTCATCTGTTTCCACAGAGAAACTCATCAGTGAAACCTGAGCTTACTGTGGATTATTCTGGTGGCTCCATCACTCTCTGCCTCACACGCCCTCATCTGCTGCTTTCCTCTGATTGGCTGCTCTGACAGAGTCATGATTGGCTGCATGTTTGTATAGAAAGCAGCACGTTGCTGGTAGATCAGCCATCAGCTCATGTTTGTGACTGCAGCATGGCACCAGTTTGCTCCTCGTGTTTCAGTCCCAGACTGACCTGCAGCTCTTTAGTAAATTCAGACAGCAGCTTTGTAACTGTTAGTAAATCTGACCATGAATATCATTATGACACCTCTGACCACTCATTCTGTCTTTATTGGCTTTCATACATGAAACACGCTTAAAGTCACCATTGAATCTAAACTGGATGAAAGCAGCTGTGAGTCACTGCAGCAGCTCTGTGCCAACAACCAACCAACACCTGGGTGGAGTCCCAGCTGAAGCTGAGAGACACTCAGAGATCAGCAGAGCACGTATGGAAGCGCAAGACGTACACAAGCTATGTTGAGCTTAGGATATGGCAAGTCTCGTATCGCAGCGATAACTGAGAGAGGTTCAGAGGGGTGAAGCACCTGTAAAAAGGGCTTGATGTTCAAACCGTATGAGAAAACTAGACCTGTAAGAAGCGGATTGTAAACCGCAATAAAGGAAAGTTAGCAAGAATAAACAAGTTGCGACTGAAGCAATGTCCAAAGATAGTTCATCTCAGCCTGTAGCGTTCCATCTGCGTCTATGTTACTCGTCACGCAGCAAACTGGCACACCAATTACAGACTGCGAATGTTGAGCGGCTCTGTGATCTGTCTTTTCATATTTGGGAGCTCAGCAGGTCCAGTGATCAAATGGGTTGATGAGGACGCTTCAGAAGCAACAGACAGTGTAAAGTGCTTAAAGGAACTTGAGCTGATTGTAGTAGATGGGGCGATCTGTATGCTTGCACACTTCTTAGTATTCTGGGCAAGACGAGGTTCAATTGGAAGCAAGCGAGTGGGCAGTTGTGAATCAGATGCCTGCATCAGACTTCCAACTTAAAGCAAGTGAACTTCAGTGGATGGACATCATGAATACACATGCTATGAGCTGATGCGTTATCAGTGGATGTGCCAGCAGTCCTTCGCTCCTCCACAGCTTGCACAAGAACGATCCGTAGTATGTTGGGTACGGGACATCAAGAAAAATCGGAGCTGCTCGTTAGGTTCTCCATTCTCATGCTCAGAACAGTATTAAGTGAAAGTTCTCACTGAGTGGTAATCGATGAGAACTGCAGATTAAGGCATGAGCTCAAAGGACCTGGGGGCATACGATATGTAACAGGAGGATAGCGCCCGTCACTGTTCATGTGAGCAGTCGTTCATGCTTTCATCTTGATGCGAGCTGAGATACCTCTTCGTTCTTCTGCCTCGGCATTCTTCAGCTGAATGTCTTGTGTCGCAGCAGACAGTTTAGTGATCTAAGGGCAGAATCTGATTAAGGGTTAGATAGAGTTTGTGTGTGAGGGGAGACACCAGTGTGTGACACGAGAAGATGTCTCCTGCTTCCCATGAAAAAGAAGTTGCGTCAAGCCTAGGCTAGCTGTTTGGATGATCACTTAAAATGATTAACAGAACCCAGTGATCGGAGACCGACACCGCCAAACGCCTAGTTCATACGAGCCCACAGTAGTGGACCACGTGTTGAAGCCCAATGATTTACACTAGACACTCATCGAGTGAGGCTCCTGCTTAATCACAGCGACTGATCCACAAAGAACCTGAGCGAAACATCTAAGTTCAGTCAATCTGATGGGTTAGAGTGGGAGTCTGACGATATGGAGTCGTTGTCACACTGTAACAAGCAGCATCAAGACTACCGTTCGGCCACCTAAGGGGGAGCATTTGAGGATTGTCTAAAATGTCCCAGAGCGTCGGGCCGGGAAAAGACAGAGCGCACGCCTCCTTTATTGTGAAATTCCTCACCATGGTAACTGAACACATCAGCTGGTCTGCAGCAGGTTCAGAGTTTGAGGCTCAAAGTGTCCCATTTTCACTGATTGTTTCCCGACGACATGCTTCACGTGTGATATGGATCCTCTGCTGAAGGAATCTGCTTTCTATCCACAACCTGTTGATCCGTGTCTGACTAACAGCAGCGCAGGAAGCCCTGCAGTTACAGAGAAACTGTCTGAGTCGCATTGTTGCTGCAGTTTACCTGCAACTGCTGTGAAGAAAAAGTCTCACTGTGTTTGTGTTTGGTCCTAATCTGCTGCCTGTCTGTTTGACATGCTGGATTTCCAGCTGATAGATGACAGATTAGAAACTGATCAGTCTATTGATCACACAATATTCCATCAATAGAACTGATTTGACTTTGATTTGTGTAACAAAGTGATTTCCACGTCTCCTTCATGATGTGACAGTGTCAGAGCTGAATGCACTTGTAGAGTATCATGTTTTTATGGCTCACATTTAAAGTGTTGCAGCTCTAATGTACAGCTGTCATATTAGAAATAGAAGCAGCTCTGATTTTAGTGCTCAAAGAAATCTATGAAGTGATGAATTCACACATGAACAGTTTTCTGCAGCGTTCCTCTCGGCCTTATTTGCAGCTCCACTCTTGTTTTTGCTCTAATAATTATTTCTCTCCATGAGCTGTTTCTCTGCCTGAAGGAGGCGCCACTCCATCGCTTCATTTAGTGCAGAACAAGAGTCACATGATGCTGCTCTGAACACCAATCACACTTTGTACAGCTCATGTTGTGTTTGTTGTCCTCTCAGTGTGTCAGGTGGAGGTGGAGGAGGGGGCGGAGTCTGTCCAGCTGCCCTTCAAAACCACACAAAACCTGCCTGAAGATGCTAGAGTGGAGTGGGGACGCTATGCAACAGCTGTAAACCGTATGATAATGGTTACCAGCCTGTATAAACAGCACCAGGTTTTACAGAGACCGAACGAAGATAAATAAGACCTGCTGAAAACTGGAGACCTCAGTCTGACCCTGAAACAGCCCACAGAGAGAGACAGTGGAGAATAATGGTGTGTAGTCTGGAGAATGGAGCATCATGAGAAGACAAAACAGTGCAGCTCAAAGTCAAAGTTTGTTTTGTTTGTGGGTGGGTTGTGGTGTTGTTGTGTTGTTGGTTGTGTGTGTGTTGCGGGGTCGCTGGGTGTGTGTGTGTGTGTGTGTGTGTTTTACTGTGTGTGTGTGTGTGTGTGTGTGTGTGTGTGTCTCTGACTGTCTTGTGTCTCCTCTGCAGGGAGAGTTCAGGTCCAGGATCAAACAGGGGACATCAGGAACAGAAGCAGCTCCATTGATCCGACTCCTCTGATGGCTGATCAATCAGTTTGATCTGTGTGTTCTTTGATTATTGATCAGTGATGTCAGAGTGGAGTCAGTGTGATGTTGTTGTTGTGTGTTTGAGACTTTTAGTGTCCATGAAGGTCTCTGCTGCCGTAGATCCTCTGAACTGTGACAGAGGTCTCACTCTGGAGGAAACTCTCAGCACTTTCCAGCAGCTCCTCCATCATGGAGGACGTTCCCTCACTGTAACAGGTGGAGGAGAGAGGAGAGGAAGCACAGGTGGATCCTCTGAGGAAGAGGAGCGTCCTACAAACCACATGATCACATGACCAGAGGACAAGCATGTGCAGAAACACATTAAAGTCAGCCTGTAAACACGTTTGTGTAAATTCTAGTCGTGTTTTTCTGTCACATTCAAATAAAAGCAGAGAAAGCAGAACAAATGCTGAAGCTGTCTGTGTGAAATAAAGGAGTTACAGCACAACCCACCCAAACACAACACTCACACCACCCACCACTACACACACACACCTCACCAACACTCAACACCACCACACACAACCACTCAACACCAACTCACAAACACCCACACACACATCACACACACACGCACACACACACACACACACACACACACACTCACACACACACACACACACACACACACACACACACACACATCTGTCTCCAGCAGCTGTCTGAGCTGCAGTCTGTATTGTGTGTGTAATATCTTCATGTTTCTAATATTACAGTTTTATCTTCAGGTGTAAAATCAGCTGCTCTGCTGTCTTCTCTCCTGATCCTGTGTGATTGATTCGATCCTGCAAACGCCACAAATTTCATTCCAGCTTTGATTTGAAAGCCAGCGAGTAAAAGGATCAGCGATAGTTTTCAGAGCGATGCCAAAGCTTGGGTTCCTCTCCTACAGCAGCTTTTCTTTCTTTCTCTCCCTGTGAAATACAGCAGCTGGACCTTTAGCTGCAACACACTGTGAGACAAACTGCACACAAACAGTTTGTGTGTTTGCTGATGTTTGTTGAGCTGATAGAAACGCTGCATTTGAAATTAGCTGACACTTCAAAAACGTTCCTCCCTTTATGCTCGCTGCTCTTCAGCAGGGCTAGCTAGATGCTAAAGTAGCGCTAACACAACTTACCTGCAGTCGTTCAGCTGTCGTCCCAAAAACATCTCAAATAAAAACATGGCCCACTTTAAGCCCTGACTGTGACTCACAGTTTGACTCTTTGGTCTCTTTTATGTGATTAATGAATGAACAGGATTTCCTTTCATGTGTTTCTGTTCAGGCTCAAATCGCTTTGATGTTTGACGGCTCGCACTGATGGAATAATAACTCCCCTCAAATGTGTTAAAGCTAAAGTAACCAGCCTGTTTGAACATGTAAGGAGTAGAAAGTACAGATACCTGTAAATCCTACTGAAGTACAGTAACAGAGTATTTGTACTTAGTTACTTCCCACCTCTGGCCCTACCGTTTTATCCCATATGACTAAAGCCAGGTAGGGGCTGGCTGGATTCAGCAGAGCAAACATCTAATGTAGTCGTGGGCTCACAAGTTTCTCTCTGAGTGCTGTCATGGTGTAGTTGCCATGGTGACACAAGGTTTGGCCCTGACCAAAGCGCTCGGCACAGACATGGTAGAGAAGGCCGTCACTAAACGATGGAGGCGGGGAAGCGAGACTCAGAGGGGTGAGGTATCCTGGTGTTACTGAGGAGAACTCTGCTCTCTCTTTCTAGTCCCTGTTATTTACTCACACTGTCCCATTTAAAGCAGCTGAATCCTCTGTGATGCTGTTCACACTAATATGGTTGGATCACGCTCACACTGACTCTGACTGTCAGCTCACTCTTGAACACACTGAGTTTCTGGGAGTCTGGCAGGTATAAGACCCTCTTCAGGAACTGACTCAAAGAAGAAAAAGTGGATGTTTTCATTTGATCGTCATTTTTCACTGGACGTGGGTGAAACTCCTGGATATCAAAGACATCCTGAGGATCACTGAAGTTAAACGGCTGAAAGTTTAAAGAGAATTGTAAAATGATAAGATGATGATTGACTCATAAGATTATCTGACAGGTCCTTAAAGTGGCCCCTTGGTGGAGCTCAGCAGGACGACAGGTGGCTGTGAGCTCATTTTAAAATCATCATAGAATAAACAGAAACATTAGCAGATGACGTTTGAAGGCTTTACATGTGTTGGATATGAATGTTTGGAGCCCAGATCATCATTGGTCTGGTTTCAGTGTGGATGCTTTTCTCCATGTTGGCCTGAGGGTGGTGCTGTTTAGCCTGTGCTGAGTATTTGTCACTATGCTGTGGGTGGAGTCAGTGATTGGCTGAAGGTGCCTTCTTTAAAGCGGGAACACTGGCTCAGCTTTCCTACCTCCTTCCTCCCAGCTGCACCACGCTGCATCAACAAGTGATTGTCTGTGTGTGGAAGAGTGATGCCATTGTACACACTGTAAATATCTTCTTCAGCTGTGTGGGTGGAGAAGCTTTTCTGTCAGGGAGGCGGTGTCCTTCTCACCTTCAGACATGAGATTAGAAAGAGAGAGAGTTCAGATCACAGTGCAGATATGAATGAATGAATCCGTGCTCGTCCTCACGGCTCCTGCATGCTTTTAAAAAAGTGTGTGTTCAGCTCTGATCTCCAATCTGTTCTTTTCTCTCTTTGTTTCCTGGGTTCATGATCATCATCACACCGTCTGAGGCTCCTAAATATCCACGTTTGCTTGTTTCACTTTCACACTCTGGGAGTCAAAGATGTTTCAGCTCCAAACTCACTGAGAGCTCCTCGTGCCCACCACGTGACCACAAACATCTTTGTGCTCACGTGCTGCTCGTGTCTGAGACGCTTTAGTTTGAAGGAGACAAACTGCAGACGCAGCATTTCCTGTTCCTGAGTGTAAACCTGAGCATTTAAAATGAGCTCCACAGGGAAGCTGTAGGTGACAGAGATGCTCACAGACTCACTGACGTTACAGTCTGTCAGCATCACGCAGTATCACAGACACACGGGAAGATTTAGTGCAAGTGCTGAGAGACACACAGCAGACATGTTGACTGGAAACATGTCAGACTGAAATAAAGCAGAAGCACATGTTAGCACATGCTAATATGATGTGGATGTGTTTAGTGTGGGAGCAGGACTCACCTGAGACACACCTGTGTGGATGCTGCTGCTTCCTGCTGTGTGCTGCTCTTTCTGCTGATTCAGCTTCTTCATCACGTCTGAGGCTCTGTCACAGTTTGTTTGTTAGTATCATCATGGACACAACACAAGCACATCTATGTGACATTTCCTATGATTGTGATTGATGTGGATGTAGAACATGTCACTATCTCATTGTTTAATAAAGTAAATGTTCCATTAGAAACACAGACAGTAGAATTATAAACAGAGTTTGAAACACGAGACATTTGATGGAAGTTTGACCTTATTTGACCTTGAAGAGCTCAGAGCTCCAAAATGGCTCTAAAGAGCATTATTAGCACTTTGACCTTCAGATCCATTGTATTATTATGTTTGATTCATTGATATTCTCTGAGATGTCCTTTCTAATGTGTGTCACACTGTTGAACAGTTTCTAAAATGTCCATAGTTTCCTTTATAAAGCAGTGCTCATGGAGAGTCCTGTATTAGAGGATGATGGTGGAGCAGACAGTCCATGGATCAGTTGAAGTTGCTGTCCTGTTGGAGGGATCAGATGTTTGAGGGTCTGAGATGTTTGATCCTCTCTACACTCTGAGCTCTGAACATCCAGAGAACTGCAGGCACATTTAAGGCAGTCCAGAAAGGTTTGTTGGACTTGGAGAACCAAAGTGTTTCCTGTAACAGACTCTTAGTGTTTGACTGAAGATGATCAGACTGTCATAGAGAGACTGTGGGCATCAAAGTCAGACTCGGCTTATTATTTTAATGTGTTTCAGTTACAGTTTGGTTCAATCAGCAGAACTACTCTGCTAGATTTAGGTTAGTTTAATAAAGTTTGGGGTTAAAGTCGACTCTTTCACAGGTGAAACCATGACTTAGTACAGTTTGTTCTTTAGTATAAACCATAAAGACAAATTTCATACATATCAAACTTACTTAACCCTCAATAGTAACTGACTCATCTCATACTTTACACACCCACTCTGTGTCTGTCATCAGTGGATTCACTGTTTCTCAGGTTTCAGTTAAAAGTTCACATTCTTTGTTCATGAGTCACAGAGAGTCACATGATGTCACAAAAGCCTGATTGGTCAGTTTGAGTGGAGTCCTGGACCAACATTAATTAGTAATTAAAAATCAGTGACCCGAATAAAATATGGAATATGTAAAGGAATGGAGACACATCAGTCTGTATGGACCTCCTGCTCTCATCACTGCACAGTTTTGCTGTTGACTGTGTTTTTTATTGTTTGTTGTCTTATGTTTGGAATTCAGAAATGTTCTCTGCCCTCAGTTTATCAAAACCTGTCTGTTGTTAAACTGATTTTTTGTGTGTGTAAACCAGAGTTTTTTTTAATACATTCTTATGTACAGTTATTAGCAAACTGTAATATAATGTCAAGACAGAG